TAAATTCCCACATTATTCCCACATTATTCTTTTCCCATGAAATTATAATTCATTTTCCACCTAATTCATTCCCCCAACCAAACGCGATAGTTTGATTATGGATTTATCATTTATGTTTATAGATTGAGGACTCTTAAAGAATCTAATATTGTGATTTTTTTTTTTATTTATGTTTATGGATATATGGCCTTATAGCCATATGAAATGTTGGTTATAAAATGATGAGAATACAATATAATATGATATTTGTGATCTTTATGGTTGAAATGCATGAAAAATCATGTGGTCTGTAGAAGTTTAAATGTTACATATTGTTGAATTTGTTGGATAATATGGCCTTTTTTTTTTGACCACAACATGATGATAACACAATATGATATTTGTGGTCTCTATGATTTTTTTCTTTATTTATTATTTTTGTTTGTGGTCTCTATGATTGAAATGCATGAAAATATCATGTGTTCTGTGAAAGCTTAAATGTTATTTTTGGATTTGTTGAATAATATGATCATATTAATTTTTTATCACAACATGATAAAAATTATGGTTGAAATGCATGAAAATATCCGATGCACAGCCGCACAGGGGACAATGCTTTGATAACAATATGAAGTCGTCAACAACTTTCAAATACAATAATAATGCTTTAAGAAAAATATGTAATTTTAGCATGTTTGATTAATGAAGTTTTGACCTATAGCAGATAATCACTTTAATGGTTTGGCTACTTTTTTAGTTTGATTGAGTCAAAATTTTAACAATCCCGTTTGGTAATGTAAGCTATTTAAGGTGATGTTTCACTCTCTTTGAAAATGAACTCTGATGTTTTTTTTTAAATTATAAAAACAATTGCAGATAACCTCAGACCTCAATAGGAACATAGTCTGCTTAAATTTAAGATAACATAAAATAATTATATTAAACGAGTTTATTTGCTATCTAATTGCAACACATTGACACAACTAACGGTCATTTTCTAGACTTTTTTAGAGGATAATCTTAATTAAACGCAACAACAATATTAAAAGTTCGATTAATGTAAACAAATTGAGATTGACTATGCACATTGCACAGCCAAATTAAAACAAAGTTATCTGATGATGTGAGCTATGAAAAATCCCAACTCGTTATGGCTGTAATTTCCACCTGTTATATTTATCAATTCATATATTTATTTTTATTATAATAAATTACAAGTTAAAAACATTTTTTTAGTGTAATTATTATTAACATTTAAAAGTATTATAAACTTTTAAATTATAATTTTATTTTTAATATAAATTAATTATTATTATCATCATTAAAATAATTAATATTTTATAAGAAATAACTTAATAATAAATTTATGTTTTTTTATAAATAAATCAAACACAAAAAAAAAAAAAAAAAAAAAAAAAAATTGACATCCTTCCAAATAGAAAAATATTGTTTTCTTACTTCCAGTCAAACTCCATAGAATAAAAATATATTTCGAAAAAAACAAATCTGTAACCTAACATACCTTGATGAATAATTTTCATTCCAAATTTTTACTCTCATACTTAAAATTTTAACGTAGAAATTTTTACTAGAACTCACATGAAAAAATAGCTTATCAATATTCGTCAGATAATTGAGTAAAATAGAGAAAGTATAAATTAAGAGTATATATAGTAAAACTCAAAAATCAATACCTTATAATTTAACCAAATCTCGGAATTTTTCAATATTCACCACTAAGATAGTAGGTTATATGCATTTACAATTGCTTTAAATATTAAATATTGGTTGTTATTCTATATTTGTGTCAATTTTAGTTAACAAGCAAGTCATACCAAAAAAATATTTACGATTCACACTTTCATAATATTAAGTTTAACATTAGTAAATAAAATTTATATGTTTACAAATTATATTAAATGTAATATATTAAGATAACATAAAATAACAAGTGATAAAGTACAAATAAGCCACTGAACTATTTGGGAAGCATCAATTAAGCCACCGAACTCAAATAACCCCCAAATAAGTCATTGAACCCCGAAAAAAAGAGCAATCAATATTTTTAACAAGTTAACTCCAGATTCTTACTGACCGGATTGCCAAATGTTTATTTTATTTACGATTTTTTTATTATAATCCACCACATACTAATATATTTTATAGTAATTATAATCAAAATAATTTTTCTTGTCTAGATCTAATTTATTTATTTATTATTTTTTTAAACAGAATATCCAGTGAAAAAATAATAATAATAAATAAATAAATCAAATCTTGACAAGACAAAATTATTTTTATTATAATTACTTTTAAATATAATACTATCCAAGTGGATAATATTAATATTAATATTAAATAAAAAGAAACGTAAATAAAATAAACATTTGACAATCCAGTCAGCAAAAATCTGGAGTTAACCTGTTAAAAATGTTAATTATTTTTTTTTTTTTGGGTTCAATGGCTTATTTGCTATTTTTTTCCGAGTTCGATGGTTTATTTGAGGGTTATTTGAGTTCGGTGACTTAATTGATGTTTCCCAAATAGTTCAGTGGCTTATTTGTATCTTATCCCAAATAACAATATTAACTGAGGTTATTTGGTAATTGAAATAAAACAATGACACAACTTAAGGTCATTTCTTGAATTTGTTATATAATAATTAAGGACGAAGTTATAGATTTTCTCCAATGAGAGCAAAATATTAAAATAAATGAGATATTTTGAAAGAAAAATAAAACACTCAATAATTGCGCATAATAAATGCAATCACTTAACATATACTACATCATAAAGGTACTTAATAACCATCTAAAACTAACTCATATTTTAACAATTTATATTTATATTACTTATATGTAAAAATTTACTCTATATAAATACACAAGAACCCCTATACATAAGGTGTGAGGTGGAGGAGAAGGGGCAATTGTCCTCATTCTGAGATGATAATCTTAATGCAATAATACTCTGACCCCTCTACACATGTTTTCCATATGCGTTTTATTACAGTAATTGTCAATTTTTTTTGTCGGTTCCATCTTCCAATTCCAGGTACAAAATCGATTGGCACGTCTTTTAATTCCAGCAAGATCTTTTGAGATTGGATTCGTATCACCGCCACGGGGACTTTTGAAGAGTATCTAGTAGATCTTCCATGAATGTCGTCGTCGTTGCTAATAATATAGTGCAGAACAGTGAATGCTCTTTAATGACCAATCCTATACCATGGACCAGGATTTACACTAAACTCTAGAGACCTTAGTTTATTGTATATATTTTGTGTCGCGACTTTTTATTTTTGTGTTATGAAATTCTGTAAATTAAGAGTATAAATTTTATACCTGAAACAAATTAGTAATTGTGTTTTATGTTATGAATTTATGTTTCTTGTGTTAGTGAAATAATGTGCCTATGAATACAAATTATGTACATAAATTAAATTTGAAAAAGAATATTTGTGTTAATGTGCCTATGAACACAAATTATGTACATAAATTAAATTTGAAAAATAATATGTGTTGTGTGTTATGAAATTCTCTGCCTTATTCTATACATGCTATGTGGACAGAGCATTTGCCTTATTCTATACATGCTATGTGGACAGAGCATTTGCCTTATTCTATACATGCTATGTGGACAGAGCATTTAGGAGGATGTAAATCATGGTAACTAATCATGGTAACTCAACTGAACATAAACCACAGACTGCCGCTGGTAAGACTCGATCCCTGGTCATTTTTCTAACTTTTCACCTCTATAACTAGTTGAGCTGTCCAAGTGGGTTTCGTGACCAAATGCATGATAACATCAAAAGATGTAAAATCACTTCCAAATCCAACACGGCATGCAACAATTTGTTTATGTTAAACAATGGCACGTAGTGGTCAACCATATGAACTAATTATGCTATCTCAAGATAATTGTAAATTAATTAGACAACGCCATCAAATAGTTAATTGATTGATGCATACACCTATATAGCTCAAATGTGGTCCAATCAAAACTAATTTTGTTTCAATTAGAACTCAATAATAATTATTATCAGATCAGATCAGATCCACTAGCTGGGTTGGATTACGCCATGTATGAGATCATCTCACTATAAAGTCTATAAGGCGTGCAATATTTTTTTTTTAATTAAAATGTAATATTTTTTTATGACTTTATAAACTAGTATTACAATCATTATACCGTGTACCAGGACACACATAGCAATATGTGCCTCGCGCCTCCCATAACGACGTCGTTTTGTATTCTGTTATAAAATTATGTGTTTTCAGGTATAAAATTCTGTACAATCGAAACAGGGGTTTTTGTCTTTTTAAAAAAGATTATGTGTTTTCAGGTATAAAATTATGTGTTTTTTATTATATAGTTATGTACATTCGAAACATGGGAATTTCCAGTTATAAAAATTATGTTTTTTCAGGTAAAAAAAATTATGTGCTTTCTATTAATACAATTCTGTACCTTCGAAACATTAATTTTTTTTTTTTTAACAGCAAACACGCGAAAAGGTCAAAACGACGTCGTTTTGGGCAGGGCGCACAATGCACTATGCGCCCTGGTGCCCGGTATAATTTGCCCAAGTATTACATTTTAATTAAAAAATACTACATGTGTCACATGAGATTATCTCACACACAAGACTTAATGTGGTGTATTCAATCAAGACTTTTATAGAATTCTAAGAACTTTAAAAGTTTAGTAATATTACATTTAAACTTTTACTCTTTAAAAGTCTACCAATATTTGATTGACTCCTACAAAGTTAATAAAAGTCGATTTAAAAAAAGTTTAAAAAATTAAAATTTATCACTTTAAAACTCTTTGAAAAAGTTAATAAAAATATTAGGTTGGGGATTGTATAGAGACAAACCCATCATAGTCATTCATCTAAAATTGCAGAATGCAGACACAATAAACTGTTTTAATGATTGCGGTTGTCTGATCTCCTTTCATGATTCGGCTTAATCTTCGTATACGACCATGCACTATATGTCTCTATGCAGAGAACGTCAATAGGAACGTAATATAATTAAACACAAAGAGACAACGGTCATGTTCTGGGATTTTTTGGAGGATAATCTTAAACGCAACAACAATATTAAATTCGATTCATGTAAACGATATAAATAATCTTGTCCCAAACGATATAAATAATCTAACTATGCTGAATAATAGTAATTAGTATATAATCTAACTATGCTGAATAATAGTAATTAGTATACGAGAAGCGGAAGCGGTAGCCGTGTTGATTCTAACTACAGTTGATGTTCTTGTTGTGTTGATCCCCCTCACCATTAACCATATTTTACTTCATACTTGATTCAGAACCCTAAATGATGTTTTGCCTCATACTTGACTCAAAACCCTAAATAATGTATTGATGTGTTCGGAGCAGTACGTAACTGAATGTGTTATCTAATCAATAACTTGTATCCCATCCATTCAGATTTATAGTTATTCAATCCAATCACTTAATAAACCGTAATATATAATATATAATATATATATTATTAAGGAAAATCTTACAAACAAACATATTGAGATTGGCTATGTGGAGCCAAATTAAATTTAAACAAAGTTATCTGGTGATGTGAGCTACGAAGGATTCCAACTCGTTACGGCCGCCGCCGCCAACCGCGATCGGTTCTTTCAAGCTTTGACTCAACTCCGCCGCTCTCCGCCTCATCTCCTCTCCTTCCGCCGACGCGATCAGCTTCTTAACTCCTTCCCCGATTTCTCTCCGCCCAACTCGTTCGTTCCGCCGTGCCCAGTCCACCAGACTTATCCCCATTTTCAGCACCTCCGTTATGAGTGTGGCGTTCCTGGGCTGGTCTGAGTGCATCGGCCACGCCGCGATGGGGACTCCCATTGAAATGCTCTCCATACACGAATTCCACCCGCAGTGACTCATGAACCCTCCCACCGATGGGTGCCCCAGAATCTCTAACTGCGGCGCCCATTCCCGGACAACCACCCCTCTTCCTCGTACTCTTTCCTCGTACCCTTCCGGCACCTCAGCTCTCCTGGCGGCTTCGCCGTCGTCGAAAACGTCTCCCCTGTCGCCGTCTCTCACCACCCAAATGAATTTCTGCCCGCTCTCTTCCAGCCCGGCGCCGAGCTCCGTGATTTGCTCATTGGACAATGAAGTTGTGGATCCGAAAGATACGAACAAAACAGAGTCTTTCTCTTGCCTGTCCAGCCATTCCAGGGATTTGTGACGATTAGTATTGATTGAGTCTGTGAGAGAAACCGGGTTCAATGGACCAATAGCCCATTGAAATCCCGTTTTTGATTCTTTCCCAATGAGATCAATAAAAAGCGCTTCTATTTCTCGGCAGGAATTTAGAAGGTCTCCGGAACTTGCATCCCAAAACGGTCTCTGCATTTTTATGAATTCTTCAAACTCAGGTATGAAACAGCCCTCCGGAGACGGCATATGGTTCAGTACTCCGGCGGCTTCTGGCCCAACGTCAGGTTTTCCGGTGCGTTCCCAGTGGAAGGAATAGGTAGTGAACGCTGAAATGCAACGGAAACGATAGAGCTCGGCGTTCTGCAACGAAGGCACGTCCTGAACCACCCAACCCATCAACGAGTCGGAAATTACCACAACCCTCTTCTGATCAACGGAGAGATTACGGATCAGAGCGTTGAAGGGGCGACGGAGATGCGAGGTTGCGAAGAACACCGGCATGAGCTGAGTGGGGAATTTGGTGGAAGCGTCGGGATTGGGCGGCGGGGACTGGAAATGCGGCATGGAGAGGTGGTGAAAATGAAGGTTGGGTACGGCTAGCGGGTCCCAGCCGTGGACGCGGTGGGTGGCCTGGCGGATGTGCGTGGCGGCTCCGGCGTAGTGTACGGGGATGCCGTGGGCGGCGATGAGGCGGGAGAGGTGGAGGAACTGGTTGAGATGGCCCTGCGCCGGAAGAGGCAGCATCACCACCACCACACCCACATCTGCTCCTCCTTTAGTGCCGTTTTCAAGAATGGAAGAACCGTTTGGCATTGTTAAGCTGATTCTGTATGTTGAATGGAAAGGGGGACAATTAGTAGACTATATAGGAATGAATTGGTACATATTATATATAATATTTGTGTTTGATAAATAGCTGTTAGCTGATTAAGTTAATGAGTTTAGCTAGTATATAGCATTAAAATATTGTAGAGAGATATTTATCAAACTGCTAATATTGGTGAAATAAATTAAAATTGGTGCCAAGACCTTCTGGTCACTCGGATTGGACCCATATGGGAAATTTGAACTTAAGTGGAGGCGTGGCGTTATTGGCTTTTTGTGCTTCGATAAGTTGAGAAAATAGTTACGAACATGTATTACATTGTAACACTCAAACAAAATCAAAATTGGTTAAAATTACCAAATAGGCAAATGTCATTTTTGTTGTATTGCAAGTTTGTTTGCAGGCCTTTAGCTCGTGAAGAACAGTAAGAACAAGAAGAAGAGTAGAGACAAAATAGAGGGTTTCTTATTCCTTTATACCACACCTATGATCATTACATTAGAATGACATATATATAATAACAACTGTAACGGAATACAATAATGGAGACATAAAGGAAACCGTTACATAATAATGTCCACAATCATTACTATTTATAATACTCCCCCTTGGACATTATTTGTCGATGATCTAGCCTCGTTAAAAACTTTCTAGGAAAACCCTGTGGGAAAAACCTAGACAAGAAAAGAGTACAACAGAAAATATATTCATGCCTCATTAAAAACTTCACTAGGAAAACCACGTGGGAAAAACCTAGTTGAAGAAAAGAGTACATGATATATACAAAAGCATATATTGTATTTGGTCGCCTCATTAAAAACCTTAACTTAAGAAAACCCTATGGGAAAAACTTAGTTAAGGGAAAAAGAGTACAACCATAAGCCTTCAGGGCGCAAACCGCATAATCTTCAGGATTTTGGGGTTTGTCCATTTAAGCAATTATTTTGCAACTTTTCCTCATTGTCATTACTATATCATACTCATGCCTCGTTAAAAACCACACTAGAAAACCCAATGGGAGAAAACTAGTGAGGAAAAGAGTACATGATATTTATGTATTTATGTGTTGCAAATAGTGCGCAATTGTTAGTCTTTTATGACTTAATCTTCGGGATTTTACGTTCAATGTTCAATCTTCCGGATTGATTCGAGTAAATGTACTTCCAGTCTCCCCCTGAAGATAACAATCTTCAAGTTTTACATATATTTTAAATTTTGAAGAGATGGATTGGACAAATCTTCTGGATTGTCACTTAGAGTAGTGTACAATAATCTTATGGCTCTTCTAGAGCTAATATAACATTTGTGCAACACAAGTTTTATTGTCCTCATTTTGAACATTTAGGGAAATTCATTGTATAACCAGTTTGGACTTGGCGTTGCGGGGATCAAACAAAACAGCCAGTACCCAAGTAGCCTATTAAAACCGTATCATGGTTTCTTACATAAATGTTATGTCTTTGTATCTCGAAGATACCGGAGGATATGTTAATCATTATTCAAGTACTTCATTTGTAGGGGGAGCACTAGATTTTGCTAGCAATTTTATCGCAAATATCTTGCGGTTATGGAACTTCTGGTTCTATAATGGTGCTCCAATGATAATGAAGTAAGGGACTTCGAGTCCAAAAAGGTTCCTTATCTACTTCAAGAGATTATTAGGCAACCTTTAGTTTGATAAAACATGACACTTATATGCATATAGACATATGAAAAAGCATTTTTAGATGTAGGCTGACTGGTGTATAAAAAAAATTGTAAAGAAAAACTCGATCTTCAAGTCGAGATAATACTTATAGCTTTCACAAGCTTTTTGTTTCAAAAGTCTCAGTCTTTAAACATGAACTGACATTATCAAGCTCTTTATATCTTTCATTGATGTTTACACCATCAATCTTGACTGAGATAATAAATAATAAATAAGTTCATTATCAACCCTTTATCGAGCACACAATGGTACATATTATTCCTTCAATGAGGATATTAACTCCATTCGCAACCCTTTAAAGAGTAGATAATGACACATAATAATACTTAAAAATGAGAATTATGAATCCATCAGGGATTTCTCAAGATAAATTTAACTGCATATCTAAATTTATTATTCTGCCAATTGTATTATGTAGCGGAACTTAATGCCATTTACCGTGGGAGATTATATTTAATTAAAATCAATTAAGGGTCTCTGCGTGAACCCATAGGCTACAAACTCGCTTTATCACCTCATTATTCTTATTTCTCTTTCATGCACACACCCATTTGTAACCTTCAGGGTTAACATTCAAATGGTGTATTGTTATAAAGAGAATTTATTCATTTTAGCGAGTCGAGCTATGCCTTAATTGCTCCTTTATATATTAAATAGTCATGGCACTTCTGGTGCTTAACTCTGGATCCAGATTATATAACGAGCAATTTGTAATAGCAATTGTGTTGTCGACAACTATAACTTTTTTGTAAAACTCCCATATTTGTAAAAGTAATGGCAATTTCTAAAACAACCAGATTCTAAACATTTCCCAAAGATATTTTGATCTGGTCGTTCCGCATCCCTAGTATTACGTTTGTTTGGTGCACCTATAAGTCTTACCAGGGTTTTTCGTCATCTGGACGAACGTCTGCAGGACATAATTATTCAAACTATTTCAAGAGTGACAATATTTCTTTACTAGATCTAGTATTATGATTCATATCTCTTTCACCGATAGGTCTCCTACACTTCTGGTGTCAAGGAGTATCGATAGATATGTTTGGTCCAAGGATATAGGACCTAGTCACTTCTTTTATGATCATTATGATCAATAGATGTATTCGGCAGATTATTTGCTAAAATCGCAAATAGATTATCTTTTGAACTTCCAGTTCAATCTAACTAGTACATGGATTTAAATAATGAAGATGTTTTTATCCTTATGAAATTTCTTGGCATTCCAAAAAGCTACGGAGTAGTATATTATCTCCCCCTAATGCCGAGAAACAATCTTCATTAGGAATGCAGTCAACGTACCCAATTATATGTATTGATCCCCTATCATGGGCTTTCTGTATTTAATCAATAGACGAAGGTTTCTTTGATAGCCCTTTTAGAGGTACGTTGTGGTGGTGATATAAAATAGACTGCGCAAATAAAATAACACAGATAGGAAAATGTTACTTCTGAAATCACGTACTAGGTGAAAAATGGGGTATAGCAATCCTTGAGGGATTGATTTGTGATATGCATTGAGTTAGACTTGGATAAAAAGAATTTGACTCATAGTAACGTCAAACAATCCTTCGGGGATTGATGGGATAGGTTGACCATTTTTGGTCAAGAATTCATTGTCAAGATTCATCCTAAAAGGATGACTTAGAGAATTAAAATCCTTAATCTACCTTCTGGGCAAATAAATATACAAAATAATGAGGGCTATAAATTTAAATATCATATGCCCAAATCTCATGTCAAAAAGTTTCTATAGCAGAAACTAGCACTGTAAACATGTCATAGCCTTTAACTATTATCACATGCAAGCTAAGGTTTAGCAACGACAGGTGCAACCTAACCATATTGAGAATTCATGCTATTTTCCCACTTATAAGTTGGGTGATAAATCTCAATAGCTATGGCCTATAGCAAATCATAAATTGCCAACAAGATAAATAACAAAATCTCTTATGTGAACATAATCAAGAGATTATATGCTAAATGTTGTCAATTAAAGAGAAGCACATGCAACATGTGATATAATTGTCCCTTATGTCTTGGACACCAAACACTCAATTGAGTCATGCACATCCATTAAATAAAGAATATCATGTTTGGTACACACAAGGCATGACATGACAAGAGATATTGTTTATTAATTCATAAATTAGAAAAATGAGAGAAGTACCGTTCGCCGAATAATAATGAGCACATGTTCGCTGCCGGGCCCATTCATTCCTATTTCGGGACGTCAAAAACAGCACTTTTCCAAGCAAATTCTCATTTTATTTCATAGTTTCATATCTCAGCATGAAAACATCACAAAATAGCAAGATATACAAGCTGAAAACGGCAGAAAATTTTCAGAATTTTGACCTGGATTGCAGAATTTTTTGGGGGAAAAAGGTAACACATTTTGACACAAAATTTGGCAGATATGTAGTTCAGTAAGTCTAGAACATACATAAATATTTTCATGTCAATCCAAGGTGTGAAAGTATTTTTTCTGAAATTTTTCACAACATTGCTCCAGGCAGAAAAATAATTGGCAGCACACTGCCAAAACTTTACAAATTTTTCTGGAATAACCAAAGCATATTTTTAACAAAATATTTTTACAGACATCAAATATCACGAGTCTAGGTTCTCCATAAAAAATTTCATGCCAAAAGGAATTCAACAAGTATTTTTCACGAATTTAATTTTCAAACTGTGCCGGTCAGAATTTTCAGGCAGTGATTACTATGTGTAAAAAAAAAATCACAACTTGTTTGCTTCAGGCAAACCAACATGATGTGAGTCAATATTGACTTTTGGAGAGTAGCATAGCATTAGAAATAGAAGTTGCAAACTTCATTCATGAGTCATTAGTCACCTTAAAGATCAATCCACATTCAGGGTCTTCCAGACCTTATTAAAAAAATAGCCCAATGACCAAACACTTAGCATAATTTTGTCATGTACTACTACTGGAGTACAATACGACCATTGACAATAAGACCCGCATACACCAAATATCCTTCAGAGATTGACTTAAGGTCTATAAATCCTTTTAGATCAAATATCTATAATCGAGGGTTGGGGCAAGATAACGGGTGACAAATAAAAATAGTGCTCTTGATTTACCTTCTAGGCAAAACTATATTTAGAATTCAGACTATGACCACTTGTTGATTAAAACGATCCTTCAGGGATTGTCCCATAATAAACAGTGGCTTTGATTTTCCATCCGGGCAAAGCTTCTAATAAGATTTATAATAAATCTTAAAATATATGGCGTATAGCAAACAATTGCTACCATCAAGAGCAAATCAGTAAATGCTCTTTTGTGATGACTCACA